CACACACACAGGGGCAGATCAAATGTGCTCATCCAACCTTACAAGGAGATCACTTCTAAACTTGTCCTTCCTTTCAACACAACTTGATTATGTCTGATTGGGTTTCAACTCTCCAGAATATTTTCGTAAAATGTTTAATCACTGAAGTGTCAGTACATTTCATCATAGTTTTTGCCCTCCTACATTTGTTTTTATTTAGCTATCTTCTTATTTCCGCCCGATGATAAAAGTCATAGACAAAAACTATGACGGAAATCATTGGTCAACAAAATTAACAGTGGTGTCAGAAGAGCGTTGGTGAATTTTGCATATAGTGCATTTCAACAGTTGTGATCCCCACTCTGTAACTTGGCATGGGCTGAAGTTTCTGTCGCTCTTAGATGCAATAAGACCTTTTACTGGTAGCTGTGAAATTTCATCCCTCCCAGACATTTCAAACACTGACTTGTTGCAACGGTGGCTTCTTATTACAACAGAGCGAGTACAGAGTTCTTTAAAACAACCTATTTTTCTGCAAGTGTTTGTATATGTGGCGCCAAAACACCTGAATTTCAAAGATTAAGAGACTTTGTCCCTCTTGTCCATGTGGTGTCCCGACTGACAATGTCTATGGTAAAACTTTGTGCTTACTTGTAATTGTCCACTAAGGGAAAAACCAGTGTGCCCAAACCATGTGACTGCACAACTTTGAAAACAATTCACTGACAGTTATTTTGTTCACACACCATCACTTGAACCTAACCACCAATCCCCAACCCGTCATGGCAGATGCCTACCCCTCCCTGAGCCGCCTTGTGCCAGAAGTTTCTTCCTGTTTAAAAGGGAGTTTTTCCTTCCCACTGTCGCCAAGTGCTTGCCCATAGGGGGTAATGTTTTTTGATTATTAGGCTTTTCTCTGCATTATTGTAGGGTCTTTACTTTACAACGTGAAGCTTGAGGCCACTATTGTTATGATTTGATACTGTATTAGTTAAAGTTCAACTGAATTATTGGACTAATTTTGTGATTATTTGGCAACAGTAGGTCTATTATGCATTAGACATTATTGAAAGCTCAATAAAGCACAATAGAGAGCCTTTGAAAGCTGGATATGGACTTGGGTATAAAAAAGCTACCAGGTTATAGTTTCTGATTCTGGACTTGGTGAGTGATGCCTTTTTTTGTAGCTCATGGTGATCCACATTCAGAAACGCTCAGTTATGTTTACTCTCTGGAAGTTTCACTTCTACTTTGTTAACTAGTCTTATTTTCTTGTTGTGTGCCTCTTTTTGATTTTGCCAATCTCAGTAAACTAGTTAACTTGGTACCTAAAAATTATTTATGCAACGTGTTGTGAATGCAGACAGATTTGAACATGAGCACAGCTCTTACTGAAGACATCTGAGCTGTTAAAGCCCAGGGGTTGATAAAAGGAACTAAATTAGTGAGTCTAAAGCAGGACATCAGTGGGAGCAACATTTATTCAACTTTATTCAAACCTTGATCTGTAAGCACAGATGACAGTGCATCTTGTTTAACTGGTAAAACTGACATCGATGCAAATTTTCAAGCTTGTAACCCAGTAATAGAATAGAAGTGCCTGATCATGTTTATTAGTAATGTAACAGAGCTCGACAGATGCGGTTATTTTCTTGCCTATGCAAATCCAATTCCAGAAAAGTTGGGATGCTGTTTAGCATATACATAAATGCAGAACGCAATGGTTTGCAGACCTCAAAGCTGTAATTTCTTCACAATAGAACACATTTTAAATTCACACATTTTACATGTGAAAAATATTAGCTCGTTTTGACTTTGATGGCAACAACAAAAAGTGAAAATGGGCATTGGTTCTCCATTCTGGGATAAACTGCATTTACAAATTGTGGAAGAATTTCAGAGTAATGTTCCTCATCTACAGTGCATCTCTATCATCAAACATTCAGAAAATCTGGAGAAATCTCTGTGCGCAAAGAACACAGAAAACCAATATTGGAAACCTGTGATCGTCATTTCCTCAGTGTGCATTGCATTAAAAGCAAAAATGATCCTGTCAGACTGTAATTTCTGTCCCATTCACAAATGCAGCTTAAAGCATTAAATTGCATTACATTTACAGCATGCCAATATCTTCAGAATTAAGGTTGTACAATTAGAGCACATTTGATACGACTTCCTGGTATTTGTCTGCCGAATGCCAGCAATGAGCAAACAGGAAAAACCAGTTTGACACCATATCCTGTTTCTTGTTTTTTCTGCGGTTCCACTTTCTCTCTATAAACCCTGCTGACGTGTTAAGGACACATAAAAGAGGAAGTGTATAGAAATAGCTTTTGGTTCTTCTCTAGTTTACATGTTGTTATCAAACAGGTGGCCATAACTGGCACATATGACACATTTTGTGTGTTTGCTGTCTCTTTTGCTCAAAGTGTTTCTTTTTGCAGGTGTGTACAAGCCTGAGCCTCTGGGAGATATGTGGTGGGCTGTGCTCTCTACAGGCATCCTGTTCTTCTATCACTTCACCTTCCTGCAGCTCCTTGGCCTGGTAAGATAGAGCCCTCTGCTGGACACTGTGTGCTATTTCACTATATTTTTATTACACCATCACTGCCTTAGACATAAAGTTGTGGTAAAGCTTTACGATTTAAAAAACAAACAAACTGAAATTGTAGGTTTTTGTCTTTAAAAAAATAATAATAACATAAACCTAAAAGTAGTAGTTACACAGGTACAGAGGGAAAAAAGTATTTCAGCATTGGCCTAGACTGTTAAGGTCTAAGCTTAATGAGCAAGCCCTTGTGAAAATACTAGATATTTTTGTTTAGAGTTCACAGTGTAGGTAGAGCTGTTCATCCATTCACCCATCCACTCTGTCATAGGAGGGGTTGGAACCTGTCTCAGCTGACATTAGGCGGGGTTCACCCTGAGCAGGTCAACACTATCGCAACCATTTACTCTCGTATCCAACTTAAAATGACCAACACGCATAACTTTGAACTATGAGACACACGAGGAGAACATGCATAAAAGCTGAAATGCTGACAACTTTATACCTCTGCAAATCAGCGCTATTGGTCAATTTAAAAATGAAGAAAATGTATATTTGGATTTAAAATTATGGCCTTTATCTGGAGCTAGAAAAACATTACACACTGCAGTTGATAAAATGGAGCTTAGTTAAGTACTCTGGGTGATTTCTCATTGAGCAACATGCATTCTTTTCCCCCAATATGTCCTGGATAGTTAATCATCTGTCCATTTTTGGATTGGTCTGCAGCAGGCAGCTAAACAGAGACAGCAGGTATAATCATTGTCATGTTTTTAATCAATGCATGTCTGAACTGGTCCGCACAGTGATGCACACATGTTAGGCCTGTTTCTGAACATGCGACGTGCTTATGAACACCAACAAACAACCTCTTTTTCCCATTTTACAAAGTTAATACTTACATTTTGACATAAATAATTTACAATAATTTTACATTTATGTTAATTTTAATAAATATTAAAACCGAAAGAGCTGATTCGGATCATTTTATACCAACTTGTACAAGCAAACTGTAGGTGCATTTCCTTTATACTACTCTTAAAAATAATAAGTGAGTAATAAAAATAAACTAAACAGGGTGTCACTGGGGTAGAAAGGGAAGAGTGAGGTTTATTTGTAATAGAAGCAGGAAAATTTGGCAGGCGTAGGCTTCTGAGCGATGAGGGCCAAACTGTGACAGCACAGGCTCAGAGCTTCATGTGGACTGTTGTCAGGATGCTGTTGGTAATACTTATCAAAATTCTTCAAGGAAGGACAACCTGTGTACGAGACAGTTTCATGACAACAAGAGCAACATGGGTAGTGCGAACTCTTCCCATTTACATTACTCATTTTCACTCACATACAGACAGGTATGCGCTCACTGGTCACTTTGTTAATTACACGGTCAGACACCCTTTTGTCTTCAGAACAGACTTAATTTTTCATGGCACAGCTTGAAAAAGGAGCTGGAAACATTCCTCAGAGAGTTTAGTCCATGTTGACAGGATAGCATCACACAGTTGCTGCAGATGATACAAATATCCTGTTGTATCAAATCCCAAAGGTTCTCTATTGAACTGAGATCTGGTGACTGGAGGCCAGTGAGTACAGTGAGCTCATTGTTGAAGAAAGCAGATTACGGGGTACGCTGTGATTATAGAAGGATGGACATGGTCAGCTCCCTGTTTGGCTTGTTCATGCAGCCTGAACCACAGTCTGACTCTGACTCTACCATCTGAATGACACAGCAAAAATTAAGAGATCAGACCGGGCAGCGTTTTTCTAATCTTCTGTCCAATTTTGCTGTGCCTGTGAGAATTGGAGCTTCAGTTTCCTGTTCTTAGCTGGCAGCAGTGGTAGCCATCCGGTTAAAGGTTTGACATGCTGTGCGTTGAGAGATGCTCTGCTGAATACCTACAGTCCAGCCATTCTCCTCTGACCTCTGGCATCAATGACACATTTTCACCAACAGAGCTGCTGCTCACTGGGTATTTTCTTCTTTTCAGACCATTCTCTGTAAACCCTAGAGATGGCTGCGTGGGAAAATTCCCAGTTAGGTCAGCAGTTAATAAAATACTCAGACCAACCAGTCTGGCGCCAACAACCACATTCAAAGCCACTTAAATCACCTTTCTTCCTCATTCTGATGCTACATTTGAACTCAGATTGTCTCTACCATGTTTACATGCCTAAATGGTATTGAGCTGCTGCCACGTGATTGGCTGAGATATTTGCATTAATGAGCAGTTGAACAGGTGTACCTAACAAAGTGTGTGTGTGTGAGTGATATTGTTAGTCATAAATCCTGAGATATTAACACCTAATTATTGATGATCCACTGATGCTCCCTGTTTGGCTTGTTCACGACTTTAGAGTTTATACTAAAAATTATGCAGCCTGTTGCCTCCAAATTGATCTCCTATTTTGGACCAACATTCAGTTTATTTTCTGCTGGATGCAAATCAGCATTATTCCCTAACAGCAAAGCAATTCATCTTTAAGTTCGAGGGTGTTTCTGGCACAAAGAGGGCAGAGAGTAGCCGCTTGATTGAAAAATGATAGGACAGAGTAATCAATGAATTCTGATTGTAAGGACCACAGTGCTGATGTTTGTCTTTTCTAGCATGTGCTGACTAAATGGTTGTAAAACCCCTGAAAATCTTCAGTAATTACAATGATACGACTCATTCAACAGGCGGTTAATAAGTCATGGAGGATTTCCAGGCAATGAAGTCTGACATCAGTTAATTAAGTGTCTGCTTTTTGGAGCTGAAATCTATTGGAAGAGAATGATTGTAAAGATATGTACAGCAAAGTCAACCATAATGTTTGCTTAAAAAAATTAAAATAATGAATTATCCACTGGATAAATTTGGATTCATATTGGCATCAAATTAGGTCTTACTCTGTCTCGTCTCTGCTCTCCTCCAGGCGACTGAGGTCAACTTGAATAACATGCTCTGCCCGGCTGTGTCCGATCCATTTTACGGCCCTTGGTACCGGGTTTGGGCGACGGGCCACCAGACCTTGCTGACGCTCATCCACGGGAAGCTCCTCACACTTATCTCGCAGCACAGCGGCACCGCCTGCAGATACCTGCTGGACACACTCAGACTGCGCAGCAAGAAAGTTGACTGAATGTCCACGAAGGTGCATTCAGACCTAGCCTTTTCTTTCTTTTTAAATCAACATTTTAATGCCTCTTTTAAGACTTGTTTCACAGAAACAAGCGAGCATTTCAGGGCCAGTGAATCTTCGTGTCATTCTTTTAGCGTTGTAGTTGGCTTGCATGCACAAACGTACCGGGCATTTTAAAGCTGGCACTTAGAATTGTGGCGTTGGCCAGATTTTAGCCCTCGTTCGTTTTTTTTTTTGTTGTTTTTTATTTTCAGAAATATGTCAGCGAATTTGTGGCAATTACTCCAGCTGCTTCTTTTTAAGCTTTGAGGACAGAGAATAGGGGTCACCCAAATGTCACTACTGATCTCCAGCTGTTACACTTTTCTGATTGTTGTCAGGGGGGGTTTTTAAAGTTGCACTAGATCATATGTTAGCGAGTTTATTTGCTTCAAACTTGAACTTTGGAGCTGAATGAAAATCTGAGCTTTTGTAAAAGTTACTGCCTGTGTATAGCGTGAGGATTTCTGTATGAGCACCTCTCAGTGTTGTTACGACTGAAAGCTTTCTGGCGTTCTTCTGTTCTCACTTGACTCCACGGCTGTGCGGGTTATGAAAGCATCGCCGTGGAGGTTTCTTTTGCCTTTCTGTCTCCAACTTGTTCAGATCATTCCAGTTGTGATAATCAGGGGACAGGAGGGTGTATTACATGCTGCGACTCAAAGCAGTGAAAGAGGATCCAGAAATCCACAGTGGGATGTTAATATTATCTCTGTGAAGGAGTTTTTTTGTTTTTTAGTCTTTGTTTTATTGTGCTGTTAGACCATAATAAGTGAGGTATAATCTCGAGTGGGAGGAATTCGGTGTTTCCCAAGATAAAGTGTCTTTCTGGGTTGGATTAATGTATCTTACAAAACATCCATTCTCTCCACCGCAACTGTAACGAGCCACACTCCAGTTTGTATTTTAAGAAATGCATCTGATGTTCTGCATGAGGTCACTGTGGGTCATTTATTCATGGCCCGTTTGAAAGGAAGTATTAACTGATAAGTTAGAAGATGTCAGTCATGGTATGTATCATTTCAAATATGAGGGATGTGTGTATATTACTGTAGCATATTCTAAACTTCACTGCAAAGAAGGGATAAGAGGAACTTTTGTATTTCTATCAGTTTGAGTGTATGTGCTGTATTGAAAATAAAAGGTGATTGTAGCTGATCACAGTTCTCCTTGTGTGTATGTTTAAGCATGTATTCTTTGCCTTTTAACCATGTTGCTTGCGTTAGTATTAAATCTGACTTTATTCTGCTGACGACCAACAGATATTACCACTTTGTGTCTCCGTTAATACCGCGATCATGAATTGGAGCTCGCCAAATAGACTGGCATTGTGGGAAATGTGCATATTGTTACAAAGAGCTGAGAAGATTAAGAGGATTTGCCATGCAGCCAGCATGGAAGTAAAAAAGGTATCCAAGCTCTACACTGCAGAAAATGCCCTGCTTCAAACAATATAAATTATAATTCAGGATTTCACACCACAGCGCTCATGCTGATAATTAGGTTCATCGTTTTTTGTGGGGTTTTTTGGAACTGTAATACTTTTTTTTTTTTTTTTAAGTTTTTCCTCTGTGCACCGTCACAGTGGATTTTAAATCAAGTGTAATGGAAGTAGAGACTTTTAGCTTTAATTTAAGGTTGGCTAACACAAAATTTGCCACATTCTAATCTGACTTTATTTTGGAGCGGTTTACACCTTGTTTTTACATTTATGGGGCAGGACGGTGGTTAGCACAGTTGCCTCACAGCACGAAGGTCCTGAGTTCAATTCCACCATCACGCCAGGGCCTTTGTGTGGAGTTTGCATGTTCTTTCCGTGTTTGTGTGGGTTCTCTCCGGGTACTCCGGCTTCCTCCCACAGTCCAAAGACATTCAGTTAGTGGGGTTAGGTTATGGGAAACTCTAAATTAGGTGTAAGTGCGAAAGGTTGTGTGTGTCCAGGAGACCTGTCCAGGGTGTACCCTGCTGGGATAGGCTCCAGCGCCCCCTGCGACCCTGAAAAAGGAGACGCGTAAGTGAATGAATTAGGCATGTGTTGATTTCACACTGAGACAATTTTAAAGTCTAAAAAGTGTCCTTGGGTGTTCATGATTTGGTTGATGTTGCAGTTGCGTACTTTATTTTTCTTCTGTGGCCTTACAGTGAGCTGCTCACTGCTTTTCTTCTTTGCAAGAATGTTCCAGATTGTTGATTTGGCCACTCCTACATTTTTTTTTTTAATTTATGAGGGCCTCCCTCATTTGTACTCGTATCTCTTCGGACCTCATATTGAGAGTTTTGATGAAAAGCTACAAATTGCACATTTATCACTTGGATCAACTCTATTATCTGCTTAATTTCTCATAGAATAACAAGGGAACTGGTCTGAACCTGCCCTACTTGCCCATCAATTATCCAATTGCTTTTGTCTGACAATGGGAGACTATAAAAATGGATGTAATATGCTTGTCAAATATCTTGAATTTATTTATTTTTAGAAAAAATTACCCAGCATGACATACTAAGTTCATTATTTTTATGAACTGACTTAAAACTCAGACAGAACAGAGAGACCGCAAAGTTTAAGAGCTGATCTAATTAAGCTCACTAGAAATGAGCGACGGAGGTGGCAAAGACCAAATTACTCGTCTTGTTAGATTCAAGATTGACAGCCACCGTGGGCCTATTTAAAAACAGGTTTTCTCCCAGTCCCACCAGTCTTGTCTGTTACTCTCTCTGCAACCTTGATATCCGTAGGAGCATATTTGACAGGCAGCAAGCACAACTCGACAACAAACAGTGACATGCTAGATTAAATTTGGACAGCCATCCACCAAACATCCTGCCCCTATTATTGTTGCGCCTGTTAATAAGGGTCGCGCACACGTTTCATACACTGTGCACAAACTGTAGTAACATAGCCAGTATAAAAGGGAACATCACAGCCAAAAACCAACTGGATTATTCAAACCAAATATCAAACAAAGTTGAGAGAGAATCCTAAACAGTGAGCTTGTCAGAGATGGTGGTGCTATGCTACAAGAAGTTACTAACAAAGTCAACTCATGTAGCTACAAACTAGGGTAAAAAATGTTTTTATTTTTTTTAAAAAGCCATCATCACAAACCAACTGGAGGCTAAGCTTAAATAGGGAGACCACAAAATTCATTTCTTCTCATTTTACATCTCTGCAAGAAGGGAATGAATTTGTCCCAAATTGTCAAACTTTTCTTCAGATAATAAGACCTTCAGATATACTACAAAATCCGTTTGCTGCCAAGTTGCAGCATGACTCATAAGCACTCAAGCCTCAGCACTGTACGTTACGGTTGGCTGTTCTCTCTGAGGCCAGACAGGGTAAAAAGCTTTAAGTGCAGCATATTGACTGAAGTGAGCTGCAGAGCGTCTTCACAGGCCTGTAGCACCTCATGATTCCAGACAGTCAAGAGTGGAGGTTGATCTAAAACCACCGCAGTGGCTGCAAAGAGACGCTGGATTACAATACACGTTGCTCTCCTTGAAATACTTGTAAGCAAAGTCACATACTGCTCGGCCAAGGAGGGAACTTCTTGATTTGTTACGGTGGATTACGGAACTCTTGGCACATGACGTATAATAATTGCTCCGAATTATAGAAAATGAATCCAAGAGAAATTGAAAGAGGTGGCGTTTATTGCATTTACACCACCGCCGTTAATTTCCCTCACTCACCGATATCATTTATTCTGGCAGATGGAAGCCCGGAGGCAGACTCAGGAGAGAATGTGATGTGTCGGACAGATTTGACCTCACGCCAGGGTTCATGTGTGCTTACATGCAGGCAGCAGACTGAGCCACTCAACTGTCTCTGAGCACTTAGCCCCAAAGTGTCATGTAACAAGTATTTTCAGATACACCTGCAGACTGTGACGGGGGTGGAGCTCAGACATTTCGGTGGGAGAAATAGCAGAAAGGTAGAGCAAGTATGTGAAAACTCTTATTATGTTCACAGCTCCACACAACCCCTAACACACACATGTTTGCTTTTTTTTTTTTTTTCATGAGAACACAAATATAGAAATCTGTCAGATGATGCATTAATAATGATATCCAGTTTCTAAATATAGTGTAGATTCTACATGCATTTTACAACAGTCGCTGCTTTTATGTCTCATTGCAGAGATGCATGACAATAGCAATCATTGCTTAGTTTGACTTGTATTTCCTATATATAATTAGTATAAATTATAGCATATTCAGTGCTATGCAAAAGTCTTGACCCACATTTCTTTACAGTTTGCAAGGAAAATGGAATATCGGTGCAGGGATTTATTGAAATGTGCCAACATACTTGAAAATACAAAAAACTGAGTTTGTATCTGACAAGTTTGAAAGTCAATATCTAGTGTGACTGCCTTTATTGTTAAACACAACCTGAACTCTTTTAGACAAGCTCTCTTGTAATTTCTTTAGGTAGCCTTCAGGAATAGTTCTCCCGGCTTCTCGAAGGACATTCAAAGATACAAAGGAGTATTATGGCCAGATTAAGGAAAAATAATATTATTGTTCATTTTGAGAAAAAGTCAGAGTCAAAATTTAGAATTTAAAGTTGTCGTTTCAAGTCAAACTACTGCCATGGCCGCTCTACGCATGTGACCAGCTCTCATGTGGCTTCAACAAACCGTAGACGGATCAGCTGAAGTGCCAGAGGCGATTGCTGTTTTGAATTGGTGCTATGTAAATAAAATTGAATTGAACAGAATTTATGCTACCACTTCTTCTTGTTTCCTGTATGTCCAGTTTCCTCAGGTTCTAGGGAGACATTACACACCATGCTCAGAATCACCTTAGTGTACAAATACAATTTTGTGCCTGTCAAAAGTGTTTTTGTGACTGGTTGCTAGCACCTAAAGATAAAATTAAAGCTGGTTCTTTGCTAAGCTGTCAGTTAGGTTTAGGCACAACACTGGTTCATCCCTCTAATTTTTTTTATGCTTGAGGGATTCATAGGTCAGCAAAACATAACTCTAGAAATGGTCAGGTACAAAGAAAAGCCGTGTCCAAAAAAAAGACCTTCAGAAAGCCAGGGGAACTGCTGCTCTAGGCCACTTAAAAAAATTGAAAGTGTGTCCTTTGGAGAAAAATATAGAGAAATAAGAGGGGCTCCAGACATTTGCACTGTACTGGATCCTGTTAAAAATAGTTGCATTAAAAGGCTAGTCATGCTAGCTGTACTGACCTAACTGCTAAACAGGTGCGTTCTGACTTATTGTAAACTGATAGCTTGTTAGAGCAATACGAGTGCAACCAAAGCTAATGTGGATGTCAATCATTTTGTTGGTATTTCATCATAATGTATTGAACAAATGGAGAAAAGTGAACATTTTTGTCATGCTATTTCAATAAATTCTAGTGGAGTATTAATTATTTCTACAAAATTTAATAGTTACATTACCAAGTTGAAGTTGAAGTGTCAGATAGATCAAAATTGTTACTAGCTATGTATGTTTCAGCCCTTCATCCAATAGGGTGCAGGCCATCAACAAGATCTCTTGTTGGGTGTTATTTAGAGTCTTTGCCTTTAGCTGGCTCCAAGTAAGGCCCACTTTCTGGGAGTTTGCTTGGAGGTGTAGCTTGACCTTTCTTTCTTTTTCTTCCCTTGAGGAGTTCTATGTCAGGGCCTCTCTGGTAATGCTCTGGATTCCATAGCATGTGCCCAATCCAACCTCATCATCTTCTCACTCATTCCAAGCAGGGTCATGTTGTACTTTTGCATTTCTACTCCTGTTGGTGTAGTCTTCCCACTCTGGTACACAGTCTTCCATATCCCACAAATTAGGGTGTCAGAGAAAGAGTGTTTGGTCCTGTGGCTTCCAAGAACTCCTGGCTTTCATTACACAACATATTCTTCAGATGCCCATCTTAGAGTCTTGGAGTTTTCTACCATTGATGTTTCTGTTTCAAAGGGGTCCCGACCTGGAATCAATCCTTGCTCTAAGCTCCTGCCCTTTAACCTTCTCCATCATGGGTGACCATAAAAGGCACAGCTCTTAGTGTCCCTATGGCACGCAAGCTCCCTGCCCATGACAAGGTGGCAACCCAGAGAATGCAGAGAATCACTGGCTGTTAGCATGAAGAAAACATGCAGATTACACAAACTGATGCCAACAGTAGTGTATTATGAAAATAATACTTGTGTAT